AGCTACCTGAAAGTGTCTTATTTTCTCCTAAAATAACTCATCATCTTTTAACTCAGATGCTTTCAGCATCCTGTGTCTTTCAGCTGGAAACAAAGTAATTTTGCTAAATGTGGAATTACTGCTTTAGAATTGAAGGTAAGGCTGCTTTCAGATAAGCAAAAAGATAAAAGCCTGAGGGTCAGGCAGTGGGTCCTTGTATTTGCTCACCAGTAGGTCACGCCATGTCCATCAAGCTGGTGGCCAGGATTTCCAAGTGAGTGAGTGCAAGCCCCGGAGGAATGCCATGAGCAGAAATACAGCACTGCTGTGGGCTGATCTTTCAGAAAACCAGACTTCACGAGTCTTGACACTACCTGGTTTTCAGCAGCAGGAGTTGAAATGCCTGCTCTATGACCTTTGCATACTGTCCTGAACCTCTCAGCACCAGGGACACGGCTGGCCAAGACACAAGCCGCACTGTCACCGCTAGCAAATGCTGTCCTGCTGTGCCTCGGAGCAGGGAACATTCCTCCAGCAGCAGCAACTCTGAGCTTTCACATTATCAAAGCTTTTAGCTCCTCCCGGTGCAAATGTTTGCTACTCCCACCCACTGCAGGTTCTCACGGGAGTAGAAGTGACATTCTCAAAGACCGACCTTGACAGCAGCATTCCTGGTAGCAGCAGGAACTGACCTGTTGGGAAGGCTCTGAGTGACACCTCTGCATCACCAGAAATGCCCAGGAACCCGTTCAGCAACCACAACCCCCTTTGATTTGTCTGGATGCAACTAAACCATGTAAGAAGACATTCTACTACTGAGAATAACGAGGTATATTAGCATCCCTGCCATGCCCTTCAAAAACTTAGAGATAATTAAAGCTTTTTAAGGTGACTGTAGGTTGAAGCCAACTGCTCCGTGATTTAAAGCCAGGATCTATTTGTCTGTTGTGTCTTTCTTCCAGGCTCCTGTTGTTGTGAGCAAAGCAGAATTTGAATAGTATAAGCACACTTCATAAATTCCAGCTTTCCATAAATTCCGCATCAGATCAAAAGCTAAACCTCTGTGCAACAGCACAGAGATCTCCAGCCTTTGATTTGGAACAGATGAGACACCCTATGTTCCTCTAAGATTAAAAAAAAAATAAAAAAAAAATTGGCACAGCACAAAAAAAAAAAAAAAAAAAAAAAAGAGAGAGAGAGAGAGAGAGGCAAAGGAGCCACATGAAATAATCCAAAAACAAAGGAGGAGGAAATGCAAAAATAGTATAAGGAATTCAGATGACAGATTGAAAGACGCAGATGAGCTGCAATTAACAGGACAATTTCATGTCCAAAGAGGATGCTCCAAATGCCAACCAGCAAACAGAGACCCTCTGGAGCAGCAGTAAGCTGAAAGCAAGATAATCCAGTCTTCTGATGGGAAGACTAATTGAGGCAAATTATCAATTATATTTTTGTAATATAGTTGGAGATAGTTACCTCTATCCATAATTTCCTAATTGTATTTCTACATTAAAGGAAGGAAAAGGAAAGCAAACCAACTCCAGGAGAAATGAATTAGCCCAATTTAGAAACTGCAAGTTATTTCTTGAGCTTACTGAGTGGGCCATCAAGGAAAACAATGACACCACTAAAATAAAGTGGTACACAATCAAAAAAGCCAGTCATGTGAAAAAATAAATTTAAAAAGCTATGGTGTGTTGTTTTCCGGACATCAAACAGTTTGGTGCAGAAGTTTCAGAAAAGTCTGGGGTTTATATTTCTTAAATTGGTTGTACCCAACGATCAAGAGCTAACCCAATATTTAATTGCAGTGATTGCTGTTGGGATGGTGGGGGGGTATGTTTGGTGTTTTCCCCCCAAGTTGCAAACGCAGAATTTCCCCTAAAACTCACTGTAAATTCAAGGCCTCAGACTGTGAACCTCCCTGCACAGTGATTAATCTTTACATTAGACTCAAACTCATTGTATTCCCACATGATAACTGATAAATCCACTTTGATACAGGTGAATTAAGTCCTCCTGAAGTGGCAAGTTTAACGTCCAGGTTTCATTCAGGGAAAGTGAAAATCATTGCTGAAGAGGAAAAAAGCCCAAGGTTTGCTGTCTAGAAAAGCTACAGACTGACCACTTTTATTCTCCTACACTTTGTACTCATTGTATTATCAAGTCTGGGACAAATTTAAATCTGCTTCCAAGACAAAGTTTGTAACCCTACATGTGTCTTTCTACATTTCATAAAAATTCTTCAAAAGAACCCAGCAAGAACTAAGTCTTACAAATTCTCACTTTTATTCAAAGGAGAGAAAGGAAACACATTGTCCTGGCAAAAGGACAAGATAAGGAAACAGAGAGAAGTCAGAAGACCTGAGAGAAGAGGAACATGCTTACCCCCAAAACTCATAAAGCAAGAACAATGCCTAGATATCACAGCACTCAGAAAATAAGGCCATGACTTAATTAGATATAAATGTAGTCACCTAGAAAATGTCAGAAGGTCAGCTGATACTAATTGTGAACAAGACAAACTAGGCTACTCAGAAAAACCTGTCATGAATAATTTCTCAGGGCTTAGCAATTCTGCATGCTTCTGTAATTTGCTTTTCTCTATTATGGTTGAATAACATTCTGCTAATTATTAATTGGATAATGATTTGTTGCTATCACTAATTCAATAATGTGTTCAGAAGTGCATTTTGAAAGCTCCCAGCTCTTGAGATCGTAAATATTGGCCTTATCTTCACTTGACGGCTCTGGTTGGAAGGCAGGTCCCAAGTGATGGAAATTGAGCCAAGGGAGCTTTCTGCCCACTTTGGAGCACTATTGGTCCAGTCACAGAAATATCCATGTGCTCTGGAGAGGGATGCAGTGCTTCCCCATTCACTTTGCAGGGAACAGAAGCTGTCCAGCACTGGGTTACAATGAGGAGGAATGACAGCCTCAGCCACCTGCACAGGTACAGGATTCAACTCATGAAGGGTTTCGATGCACCACTGCTTTGGTCTGACCAAAAGTCCAAAAGGAGTTCCAAAGGCTTTGCAAGGCTCAGAGTCTCACTGGACTTCTTCCCAGACCATGGTGGCATTGGTCTGCTTCTTAGTATGGAGAGATCATCCTGACTGCCTCCATCAAATGAGATCCTCTGGTTTGGGAGAGCAGCTTATACATCCTGATTATTACACAGGAGTCTGGCTGGAAATAAATAATTCACCCTTAAAGGAACTCTTACAGGGTACCCAGAAGGTGGAAACATCCCACCCCTGATCTACCTCCCAATTCCAAACCTACGAGTCTTAAGAGCACTCTGAGCAGACATTAAGGGCACATGAGAGGATTCTGCTGTACAGTACTGACCACACTCTGATATGGATCCTGTGCTGGGGCTGTGTTGCAATCATTTCTGCTCTGATACAAAGCTGAAGACAAGAAAACCAATCCCCCTGAGCTACCACTCCCTATTACCTCCCTAAGAGAAGCCCGACTACTAAAAACACCACATAAATATCACTGACAGGAAGCAGGCTTCAAGGTTATTCAGAGAAGCCCCACGCATAGACGAGCTCCTCTTTTTTTTTAGGAGTGATAAAAGCCTCGAGCTTTGCAAACGAGCAAGGCACCGCACAGGCAAACCCACCTTTCAAAACTCAACAGCTCCCTTTTTGCAGAAGGAAAGGTAACGTTGTGGGGTAAGGTATAGCATTCCTCCTTCATGGGCCACAAAGGCATAATCAATTGGGACAACAGCACATTGTTGAAACACAAACCACAGAAAGCTGCTTTATGAATCCGTGCAGCCAGCTGGAACAGCTATAAACAGCTGCGAGAGGAATTCACTCCAGAACTGAATCACTTCATTAGGATGTGAGGGTTTTTTTTTTCCCTTTACCACATGCAGCTCAGGCTGTTGATCCTCATCCTGAAGACCCTCCACAGAGCAGCTTCTCTGCTCCTGTATACTCTGGAACATCAATGATTCCCATTGTACTTATTAATCTCCTCCTGAGACTTCATTTCTCCTTCTCCCATTACATAGCTCACCAAGTCTTCCAACTCGCTATATTACATTGTGTGGTGTCCTAGGCTTTTGGCTGGAAGTCAGACAGCATCAGTGTTTTGGGGGCAGCATGGGTACAGAATTTGCTCCTAGGATAATGGCTTTTGCCTGTAAATCGATTTAGAGTAACGATTATGATGAACTGCAAATTATGAAGAATGAGAGAAAATATCCTGATGGAATGACATCTCCTGCTTGCTGTGTTTCTACTTCAGCTCTGTTTCTGCCCACGTTCTGAAGCATGTGTTTGATATAGGCTGCTACATTACATGTAGAGTTAAATCACTACTAAGACAGAAGCATAGCTTAGAGCCCCAGCAAGCAGTGAAATTGGAATACATGCTCTGTACCACTTTGAGCTGAAGATTGTCTCAAAATTTCAAGGATGAGACCACTGACTGCTGAAGTCATGTGTACTTGGCATGAGCAACATAGCAGGGACTTTACAGAGTTTTTGCAATGAAATATGCAAAATAATGAAATAATGAAAATATGATCGTCTATAGAAAATTTCTGATTCCCACACTGAAAACTTTAAGAACCTCCAAATTTAGAGGAAAGGAATAAAAATCTAAAATCAAGTAAAAGCTGAAGTAGGATATATCATCAAACAACATGCTGATTGAAATATAGCTTCTGTCTCTAATCTAGTTTATACTTTTATGGGATTTCAATATAAATAAAACCCATCTGGTATTCTGACACCATACTCAACTTTAGCCTTCTTCTATTTCATTTCAGTTGTAGAAATGTCATCAGACCCTCAGGCTGCAGAAGACATTGGTAATAAGAGCGATAAGATACTAGAAGAACTGTGTCCAGCACTCATGGCAACCTTGTGAAATCCAACCAGCAAACAGGTGCACATGTGATAGGCTCCAAAATGAACCACTGAGTGGATCACAGAGCACAACATCAGGGCTGTTTACACGAGTTGTCAGATTTTGTTTTATTTTTACCTCCTTACCTGAACTGCTACAGTGAGATGGGTCCACGAGTCTGCCAGTCTTATCGTAGCAGGCAATAGCGCGTAGCCGAATCCCCTCTCCACACTCTTTGGTGTCTCCATGGGATCGCATTCCAGACTGTGGCTCTGATTTTCCTCCTCCAATAATGCAGTCTGACCAATTCCCATGGGGCTGGGAGGTAAACACCTCACAGGGGCACAGCTCTGTTTCAACCTGAGGATAAACTTCTGTATTCTGGCATTTGTCTCGCTTTCTGCTTCGCCCTGTTCCAACCAGAGAAAGCTGTTCGTTAGCTTAACATCTGCTACTTTTGATAACGACATGTCATATTATTTATACTTGCAGGAATTCAACACATTAGAACCAAGACAATCTGAATGTTAATATCCAGGAATGTTTCCGAAGCATCTATTAGCCGCTGCCAGTGCTTTGGAGTGCAAGGACAACGTATTTATCTCCAGGGGCAACCAGAGAACTTGGAAATACTGTTGTGATGGATAGGGCAAGGAGCAAAACACAAAGTCTTACTGGAGTAACGGTCTGCCCAGAAAACACTTTGTAATTTTATAAAATATCACTTTTCTCTAATTATCTGATGAAAATAAATTGATTGTTTTGTCTCCATTCGCTTGCAATCAATGGTTGCCAGGACAACTTACAAAGGACTCCACATTAGCAACAACTTCTTCTTTGAGGCTACTTTACAAATTAGTTAAAGATGCACTCTGCACACAAACCGTACTTTGAAGAAACCAGAGAAGATAATCCTCAGTAAATTATTAGGGCTGGAAAGCATTTCAATGGTTACATTTGGTTTAATCTTTTCTTTTGCTTTATTCCTTCAATAGGTTTGAAAAGAAGGCTGTTTACAGATCTTTCCCCTTCAGTAGCTTCAGGAAGCAGATGCATTTAAATGAACCTGCAGTGCATCTCTTTGCAACTGCACTCTGCAGCCCCCGTTCCTGGAGGACTTCTAGACAATGAGAAGAGGTCCCCAGTACAAGAAGAAATAATGCGAAGGAGAGAATCCATGCTCCCCGAACCCCTACAATTGCTCAAGGGGGAAGAGGTCTGTGTATAGCCTCTGAAAGGTAAAATCAATGCTTTTTTTTTGGCATGGGTTAGCCAATGTGAAGCGGAGCAATCTTTATGTTGTCTGAACTCAGGAATGCCTTTGTGTTTGGCATCCACCCAGACTGGGGAGAACTCATCTTTGCTAACAAACTGCCTCTCTATCATGTCCTCAAACACTCTTTGGGGATCTTTGAGACTCTAAAAATACTTCTGCAAAAAGTTTTTAAAGCTCTGATCTCAAAAAAAAAAAAAAAAAAAAAAAAAAGTTTTCTCCTTGCAACTGCAGACCAGTACAATAGTGAAAAGAAACACAAAGTTGTATACCCAACAAGCCCCTTGCTGGTCCACAGCACAGCTACCCTTATCAACACCTGCTTGCATCTCCAAACAGAAGGGCCCTTACTACTCTTGTCCTCCGAGCCCCAGCTCTTTCAAAATTGTACGTTGAGAGTCCTGGGGAAGGCAGTTTGCAAGCAAAAAGGGATCATAAACTCAAAGAAACCAAATAATGCCAGTTTCTGGTTTTCAGCTGACAGTGCAATGGTGAGCAAGCCCTAAAGGAGAGCAGGGCATGGTTGCAGCCCCCTTTAGGCACGTGAATCCATGTACCTGGCTCTGTGCCCCATCTCCCTGTGCCCTTACAGCCAAGGGGGAGGAAGAGGATCCCCAAGAGCAGCTGTAGACCAGGCTGGCTCCTTGCCTGCAGCCTCAGGAAAGTCTTCATCAGCTGAGCCTGGCACCTGGGAGACAGGGGACACGCCACGCTGGCTTTTACAAAGTGAGCTTCCCCGGAGGACTGTAAGGGAACTTGAAGTTATTCATATTATCCTCCCTAACACTCATAACAAATATTTATGTATAAATTCAGGTAAGGTAAAAGAGGTGCAACTCCACATACTTCAAGGAAAGTCTTAAAAGGCTTTAAATAAATAGGGAATTTTCTAGTGGAATTTCCAGCATTTTGTGTTCAATGAGCTGATGGAAGCCACAAACATCAATATATATATATTTTTATATATATCTTTATAAATGTAGAGCCAGATATTTTGCATTGTATTAGTAAATATAGGAATCTGGGACTTGCTCATGTCTGCATGGTTTCTAAGTTTTGCCATCACTATATGAAGCATATCAAATATAGGTAAGGATGCTGATAATCTCACCCTCCCACAAAATCTTTCCCATCTTTCCCTGCCATCCATTGTGTAGGAATCCTCTAAGAAAGCTGCTATTAAAGCCCTATATCAAAGGTAAAAGGTGGCATTCATACCACAAAGAAGTAGTTTTAGAATCAGTGATGCTGATATTTTTCTCATCTTCACAGACTGCTTTAAAAATTATGATTACAAGTGTCATCACCAAAATTTTCAAGGACACAAATCCTTCAATTAAAAGGCTTTTTTTTTTTTTTTTGAGCTTCTGAACACTGACTAACTCTAGATACATTAAATGTTATAGGTAGTACATACTATCCATAAAAACTGTATGACATTAAGGAAATACCTATCTACATAAAATGTATTATATCCGTAGTACACTGGTACACTGAATATTTGACAATTAATTGAAGACTTGCTTTAAAAAATGTATTTTCATTATAATGACTTTGAATTTTGATATGCTTTGTAATAAGTCTTTTGCTTCTTAAGTAATGACTAATTTTGAATGTAGAGTCTATGATTACTTACAAAGTATAATGAATAATACTATCCAAAACTGAGTGGGAGGCAGGCAAATACTTAGCAAACAATTAGCAGATTCCCCGCAATAAGACATTGTTAATGAACCCTTAAAATGAAGTCAAAGCATTCATTTGAGCATAGATGTATACAATGATGAGCAAGGAGATACAACTCACACTCTCACATAAAAGGTGAAATACAAATGGGTAAAGGACTTGTTTAAAAGCTGTGAAGAACTCCCTAAACAGCACTTTCCTTAAATATTTGGACTGAGTTTATATGGATGAGATTTTTCCCAAGACTCCCAGCTGTATGACTAAGGCCAGCACCAATTTTCATGACTTTTATTCTAAGACAGGTCAGCACTGATCTCACTGACTTCTCTGAACTGTGGCCACACCAGAGACGATTTCTGATTTGGCCCTTCCCTGGCTGCTCCCTGTGCCTTTGTGCCGCCCAACACACCTGGGACACCTGCTGCATTTCACCACTGTTTTCAGGATGCTTTTGCAGGGAGTGGGCTGAGGCTTAAAAATCCTTCCCATTGGGAAGAAGGGAACCCAGCAAGGTGTTGTGGGAGAGCCAGATCATGAGAAATGCAGTATAGGTGAGGAGATAAGCCATCAAAACCTGGGTTGCAAGAACCATTTTTGGTCTACATGGTTGAATGGATCAATGTCTGATATATAAAGGAGCAAGAAAGGAGATAGGTAGGACCATACTCTTTTGCAACTCGTACACAAATTCATAATGATAATTCTGATTTAAAACTACCTGGAATAAATATTTACTTATTTCTTACAGTATCACAATTTCTATTAGATCAAGCATATATTGTTCTGATATGGATTTCTACTTCTTTAAACGTACAAGCACTGATACAGAGAACATTTTAGAATATGGTCTTTGACAAAAACAATAGAGCATTTTATAATGATTTTTACGTAAAAGAGAAATCTGTATTCCATAGCAAACCATACTCGTGAACGGCATTTTGATGTCATTATGTCTGTATGCTGTGATTGTCAGTTACTAAAAACTTGGAACATTCCAGCAGTAACAAACTGAATAACAAAATAAAAATCATGGCACAAGTGATTCTAGAAGAAAGGAACAGTGGTAGGTGCCATAGTTTGCTGTCATTTAGTTCCCAGGCATTATCAGAGCAGAACACATTTTCATGGCTTTGTTGGATTTTTGCTCCACTAGTAGAAGTCTTTGAAGTTTCACCTCTGGTAGTGGAGCTCAACTCCAGGAAGGGAGCACACTAAAACCAGCTGCTCTATAGCTCTCAAACACAAAACAAAAGTATGACAAGACATGGATGTTCAGGATAACGACAGCAATTTCATTGTAAGCCCTCTAAAACAGTGTAATTCATTTTGACTTGAAGTAACTTGGGGGTGGGAGGGAGGATGGGTCCCCAGACAGTGCGGACGGATGAACAAATCCCAATAAACCAAGTTGCTCCACACAGTTTGAAAGCTTTCCAGTTTGGTCAGCATTTGAACAACATAATTACAAACCACCACAACAGCAAGTATGGGAGAACGTTTCATTAAACCATTTGAACTAGAATGCTTTATGAACATACATAAAAGATCAAGCAAAACAGTTTAAACGCCACCGTTCTGTCTTCATTTGTGGTATTAATTTGCACTGTTGAGCTACTGGATACTGCTGAGAACAGAACTCCCAGCTTTAAAGTTCATCCAGATTTCAACAGTCTTAAACAGAGAAATGCATTTATTTTTCTACTTCTACGCACATTTGCTGCATGTTTCCCTGGACTAATAGGTCAGGTAAACTTGCATAATGCATTGTCACTGCTTTGGTTTCTGTCTAAAAATGGCTTTCCACCACTGACATTTTCTGCACTATTGTCATCCCGAAATGCACATGCATAAAGCAGGCAATGACCAGTATCAGACCAAAAATCAATTAGGGATGTACACTATCCCAGCTGGAATTTTCCAAAACCCCAATGTCAGTTCACCAACATCCAAGAAACATCATTCAAGAGCATCATCACCAGATAAATATTATAAAAGATTATACCTGTGAGTGACCGTCTCCTGGTTTTGGTTGATTCACAGTCAAATGAGCATGCTGTAAATTTAGACCAAGGGGTAAATGTGCAGTCATCCTTGCAGGGAACGAGACACTCCTGCACCAGAGGTGGCATAGGTCCTGCCCACCTCATGCATTCAGTGACATCGGCAGACTCGTTGGTCTCTGACAGGCACGTAACAGCTGAAGAGTAAAGGGACAGAATATCTTTATATTGTTGTATGAATTGTTTTACACTGTATTTAGCCCTATGCTTCTGTTCCATGGGAGATTCACACCTCTGGGTTAATAGTATAAAGCTGATTTATTTTTAGGTCATTATTCATGCATCACTCAAACATGTTCTGAGAGCTTCACAAAACCATAAAGACACATTCTTATTTGAGTGGTTTGTTATCTAAATGATGATATAAATTCAATATTCTCAAGGAGGCAGTCATTTTAAGTGCTGGGGCAACGGTTCAACCAATGATACATTGTACAACCAAAGGAGAAGAGATATAATACTGCAGCTACTGTGCCATAAAGCATGTTTGGTCGAGGCCAGGATTCCCGAGCTGTGATGCACACATCGCCCACAGAACTGAAACTGTTTTGAAGCATGAAAAGAAAGAAGAAAAAAAAAAAAAAGGGAAATAGATAAAAGATAGCTTCTTTTTCTGAAACTGTTATCTCTTCTGTATTTCAGATGAAGGGAATGACTGTCATAGCAGCAGATGCTGCTTATGAAGCTCAACATTCCCTGCAGCAAGATGTAAGCACCCTCCAAACTGTGTGCCCTAAACATTGTGCTTCCTCTTGGGCCCTCCCTCTCTCTGGCTTTAAGCCTTTGAATCTCTTTTGCGTAGATGGAGATGTTCAGGAGGAAGTGGAAGAGCGCTCAGCCTGCAGCCTGGCAAGCAGGAGACCTATGCGTTCCCCTTCCTCGGTAATCCCATGATAGAAAGGGGATGCAGCCACTGCATTTTACTGCCAGCCTGCTTTTACAGAGCATGACAGCCTCCTATAAGAGCACTATTGAATGGATGCACTAACATGAAAACAAACGAGCAAATAAAAACAGCTGCTCTGGGTCTCAGGTGAGGACAGCATCACTCTGACAACTTCCATCCAACTGAAGTGCCTTCGCACCTGCCACTGTCACATTAAAATGTGATGGTCCCCTGCCCAAAACTTTACCTGGTCTCTAAAACAGCACCACGGCAATAGGAAGGAGAAGGAGCAGGCCTGGGGTAGGACTGAGGTCTTATGAATTTGGACTTAGATGCCTTTGCATCAGGCAAGAGTCAAATGGGGGTTGTCAAGAGCACAGCTGATGAGTGAGATGCACTGATTTTCCCCATATTTCATTTTAAGCCAATTCCCTTTGCCTTCATCACCCCCATCCTTTTTTGGAGCTAGCCTGTAATGATGAATTTTTTAGGGTGGGTAATGGCACTGAGTAGTCATGATGGAGGACAGAAGTATTAATGTATAAATCTGAGCCACAGGAAGCCTACAATAAAACTTCCTAAAGTTTTAGTGAATTAATAATAAGTAATTATAATAAATAAAAATAGTCTGCACATCATGGAGTCTTTCATTTCATTAATAATAATTAATTCTCAGAAAATCCCCAAGATTATAGGCTATTTATATCCCACATTGTCATTAACCAAGCCAAAGATAGGTCATGACTTGATTTAAGTAATAAAACCAGGGACAGAGTTAGGAATTAAATTTGGCCCCAAGAGTTTAGTCATGTTAGATTCTCTGACTTCAGGCAAGTCCTCACATTGTATCATAAAGTTACAGAAGATGAAATGATTTAAACCAGGTATTATTATTTAACTTTAACAACCTGTGTTATTATTTTATGGAGATTCCTAAATAATTCAGATTTTTGAGGCAGAATATACTTTTTTTTGTTTGTTTGTTTTCTGTCAACACGTAATGTAACTATGGGTGCATGAAGAAAAAGGGGAAAATAACTTGTTGCCTTCTTACAGTTTAAGAATTTAGTGGGGTGCAAGTTCGCAATGAATCCACAAAGATTTATTTTATTTTTTTAAATACAGTAATGCATGGGAGTAAGGGATGAGTCAGCAACCACCTGGAAATAAAAGTAATTTATTAAAATGCTAATAGATATACAAGGAAAAAAATCAGCATTGTAAAGAACTTGCAAAAGGCAAACAATTGTTAAAAGTCTCCTTAGACTCAAGTGACAGCAAATCAGCATGTTAATAGCCACCTCTAAATTGCTGATCCTTGCCTCTCACTTTCAATCCTTTTGACCCTTGCCATCTCTCCATGCTGGCAGTCAGAAACGTGGAGACATTCCCCTTCTCAGTAATGAACGCAGGAGGAAGGGGTCACCACTCTGTATGGGAAAGCAGGGTAATTGCCCTCTCTAGGAAGGTTAAACAAGTAATAGACTCTGATGCCCAAGGTCTGTGTAGCCTCATTACCTTCACCAAGGACACCAAAGATTCAGCAACACAAACTCGTCCACGTGAAGGATGGTCAAGTGTATGCAAGGGCTTCTCAGCCTTGCTACAGCTTGTGCCTGGAAGCAGTGAGCAATACCCTGTGCTGCAGGCCCAGATAGCAATATATGTGATTGCATAATAAACTATCCCGTTGCAATGTTTACCACTATCTGACAGAAGACCACAATTCACTCCTGACATTTATTAATGGCGACACAAGTGATGGAACTTTTAAATATCAGTGTTAAAACAGATGCTCCGTGCTGCAATGAGTTATTATCCAATGGCCACATCTTCTGCACAAATGCCCTTAATTTTAAGCATACAAATAACTCACCGAGTTTGCTGAGGCTATTTAGATGCTAAAAGTAATGGATATGTAAGGTCAGGGCAAATATTTGACAGAGATTATGGAGCATAAAGAAATTAATGGCAATAGTAAACATGGGTAGAGGAAAGTTAAATTAAAACAACAAGTAATATGGATTATGCTGTGTTGCATGCATGCAGTAGTAATCTTGAAGACATATGGTAGAGACATCAGCAACCAGATTTGAGGGGGATTACATCACATGTAAAAACTTGTCAAAAAAATATAAGAGTAGGATTTAAAAGAGACCCTGAAGACTCTCAGAGATCAGTGAAGGTAATCACATTTTTGACACAAGAAGCAACAAGGAAAAAAGCATAGAGAAAAGAAGGAGTTGAAAAGCAGAAAGAGTAATGGTTTGTCTAATAAGAGGCAGCTTGAAATGTACCATGGAGAAGCATGAGCGAGGAAGAGAGGACCAAGGCTGATATTGACAGCAACAATGGGAAACAAGAGCAAAACACAGTGTGTCAGTCACAAGAACCAGTAGGACTTCTGCTATATACATATGCTATGTCTGAGGTGAGCTGCGTGAATTGCTAAAATAAATTAAATAATAAAACAAATGCCTGTTAGGGCATTTTAATTGATTCAGAAGTAGCAGCTAGAAGCAGCACAGCTGCCAGATTTATCCTAGTAGTTTGCTTAGGAAGCAGGCACCTCCTTCGTGCCTGCTGCAAACTTATTTCCCAGTTAGGTTAGGTCTGTCTTTTAAGAGAAAAATATTTTCAAATACAGGCACTTCTGGAAGCAGAATGAGACAAATTTCTTCTTAGCGGACCTTCAGGAAAGTTAATAAAATTATTCATCCTCAGTGTTTTCAAACCGCTGATTGGTTTGGCTCAATGTGTTTTCTGTTACATAGAAAATACTTCCTCATAATCCTCAGGTCTGTCACAATAGTTTTAAACAAACTCACACTGCAAAGCAATTTCTGTTCTGTCAACATCTCAATTTTTTTTATTTTTTTTTTTAAGTGGGATACCACTGAAGGGCAAATACAGTCCATTTTCAGCCCTATGCAATGAGTAAAAAGCATCACATAGTAACTGCAAATCCCTTCTAGATATAGTGCATGATTTCTCTGCAGCATTTAAAATGGACACAAACATATGAATAGAAACAGCTAATAACAGGACACTGCCAGATAAAGGGTTTCAAACTGCAATCTTGATTCCTGTGAGGAGGAGAAATAGAGGATTTCCCTTTGAAGTCCCACTATTTCTTATTAGTGCCGGCAAACACCACCGAACTGGAATTAAACACTTGGGGCCAAGCTCCAGGATGACAATTTAATGCAGTTCTGCCAATATAAATATCAAACAGTGGCTGGCACACACACAAAAAAGTATACTTTCTCTCATAACAATAAAAACAAGATCATGAACTGAAGTGGAATATAACCGTGTTTCAAATGCTAAGAGAAAATATCTTTTTATGAAGAAGAAGTGTGACTAGAGGACCCCTTGCTGGTAGCCCAGCCGGGCAGGAGGCAAGACCTGGTTTCACAGCAGAGCAGGAATTTAACTCACCACGTGGATATGTGCATTAAGATGCCAGCTGAATCCAGTGATCAATATGACTGATGAGAAGAGCTGCAGATGCAACTGCTTGGCTTCAGGGCATAAGGCAAGTGCTACCTGAACGGGCCAGGGAAGAGATTTCCCCTTCTGATGGGACAGGGCCCCATCAGGATACTGAACTAGGACTGCTAGCGGGATATTCAGTATGACAATTTCTGTCTTCTTCTGTATTTACACTCACAACAGTGCATTTGTGTGCCATCATCTTAGCATATGGCATAAAGCAGCATATGGAAGCTATATTCTTTAACTACGTTTATCTTAAATTAAGAGCAAATAGATGGCACTACTTCTATAAACTTGAACACAGTGAAACCAAATGTTTGCACGCTGACAAATTGCAGACATGCTGACTACCTCTTTGGAGAACATTACACTACTACCAAAGAAACACACGAGCATCAAACCAGGGGGACTCAAGCGCTCTCAGTAGGCACTCACCTGACTTACAACTCCACAGATGGTCCCAGCAAAAGGGAGTGTATCGAGAAAGAAATGTTACAGGCACAGCATTGCAAGCAATAAGGAAAGATAGCATACATATCGTTCCTCTTAAGTAAAAATCCAATTACAGACAGTCTTGGTAATCATATTCATTTACCAAAGTTATAATCAATTCTACTTTAAAAATCCATTTCAACAGTTTCCTACGAGTAAAAAGCTGAAGAGTGAGAATACCAAGTACCAACCAGTAAAATTATGTTGCACCATGGCACTTCAATTTGGGACACCTACATTAGTGGCTTCAAAACTTGGAAT